CGTGTCAGTGGGAAACCAAACCCTCCAGGCACAGCTTGAATCTTCTGCAGTCTTTGGGAGACACATCCCACTGAGCTTCCAACCTCCTGCCAGGACCTCGTGCCGCTTCTTCCCTGCGAGGAGCTCCTTCCAAGACCAACCATCCATCCCAAGGGTAGACGTTGGCCGGCGCTCCCGGGTTACCAGACTCCCGGGAAGCTGTTCCTCAGGCCCAGAAGCAAAGCAACACCACAGAACTTCTCACTTCTCAAACATTTTTCCCCATGGCAGCTGGCAAATCCTTCCCTTCGCTTCTCATCCAACTTGGACAAAATTACTGCAGAGAATCCCTCCCGCTCCCCTCCCCCCCCCCTCCCTGCTCCTGCAATGCAATCCCAAGGGAGAAGTGGTTTCATGGGGACCCCCTGCTGTCTTGCATCTGATTTCCCTCCTAAGTATGGTATGGGGAAGCGTCTCGAGGGCTATGGCTGTGACCTCCATACAGCTCTTTTGTCAAGTGCCATTTCATTAAAAAATCAGCCTTTTAACTGTGGACACATTTCAACCTCACCAAATCTGCTAATTATTGACAGTTGGTGAAGAGGAGATTTCACTTGTTCCTCCTGTTAAACTGCATCTAATTAGTAATTACTGGTTCACTGTCATCTTTACTGCAATAATCCCACTGCACATTGGCTCATTAACCTTTTGCTTTTCTAAAGCAGCCTGCCAACAAGATGAAGGCTAAAACAGATTGGAAAACAATAGCTCAGCCTTGGATTTTAGGCTGTTTATTCCCCTTGTCCTGGAGATCCAAAAGGAAGATTATTTTTAAGGAAAAGGCTTTCGGCCCAAATCAGATTCCAGAAGATGGTCTGGTTTGCCCTGACCAGCGTCCAACACCCTCTGAACTCCACCCACGGCGAGGGCACCTCAGGACTGCAGGTATTGGAAGGGTTTCTCTGCCATCAGCTCTTGCTCCAGCTCCATTTCTCCCCTGGCTTTATCCTCCTTTAGCACAATCCCACCGGACACGGGGCAAGGCAGGTTTGCAGCCAGTGGGAAGTTCCAACCACGTCCTCGTGGATCCTGCAAATCCTAATGAATGGTCGGGACGAGCGGGGACCAAAGGGTGGGAAAATCGGTGGAGCAAACCCCGTGGTTCTTTCTTTTGCTGCTACACTGAATTTCATTTGCACAAGTCCCATTTTCAGTTTGGAACTGTCACAGCTGTTTCCATTGGCAGTGCATAGCTGAGTAGGAGTTGTCAGTGGGGATGCTGTAGGATAAGGCGGTTGGAGAAGAGATTCCCCGGGGGGCATAGGAGGCAGTTGGAGGTTGTGGGCTAAATGCATTAACTACACGTTTCTCCTAAACTTAACAGCAGCGAATTACTCAATGCATACTTGATGCATTTAGGTACAGGAGTTAACACTATGTCGGGATGAAGGGAGCGTTTCTCAGCGTATTCCCGAAGATCCGTGTCTCGATGGGTTTATTTTTATGAGGTGATCTTCAAACCCACAACGTCCAGAAACAAGCTGTAATTCTGGAGCACCCGCTGCAGAAACCAAGGTGGAATTTCATCTGCACAAAACCAAGGTCTTGCCTCCATTAAATATCGACCCAGGAGAAGATCTGGATGCATTAACCTTCCCGGCACGTGAAGGTTGTTCGCCTCCAGAATTTTCATTTGCCTGATATTGGTGTCTCTGTTTGCAACCAGAGCTGAACTCTGATTTCTCTGAGGTCATCTGAACACAGGAATAACTCCAGAGCAGCTACAGCTGATGTGATAAGGTGGCTGCATTTATCATTTATCTAGCAAAGTTATTAAATATATTACAAGGCTTCAATTCTGCTTGAAAACTAACTGTAAGTCTGAGCCCCTTTAGAAGAGTGGATCAAACACAGCCAATCTAAAACAAGCCCTTAAGAACAAATCACCTTCTGGTTTTGTTCCCTGACTCAAGGAAAAGGACAATGAATGTGTGATGAAGGGCAGAATTTGGCTCCTTTGCAACTCCTGAAGGGGTTGGTGCTCAGACCATGATCATATTTTTGGGACAGAACAGGCCCATTCCACCTTGCTGTTAATAATTTGCTCAGTACACCGGCGGCGTCTGGGTCGTGTTGTGTTCACCTGTCGAGGCTGTGGGGACACCAAACACGTGCAGACCTACTTACACCTGCACAGACATCCAGAGATCACTGCTCAAACACTCCAAGTCTACTAAATTCCTCATCTGACAAGCTGGAATCATTGAGATTGGAAAAGACCTCCAAGATGGAGTCCGGCCATTGAAGTTCGTGGACCAGGGATGAGCACCCAAGAGGTCACACGGTCTGAGAAATGCTCCCTGCAAGGAGGCTCGGGTTTCCCATCCCAGACTGCGAAGAAATGGATCTGGAGAGGTTGTTCCACCTGCTCTGCTCACTTGAGCATCCCCACAGAAACCCCTAAAGAGATTTTAGAGAATGGGAGGAACATCCTTTAAACACACACTTATAACAAATGGAAACATAATGGGAAGACAAGCTGAGAGAGCTGGGGGGGTTCAGCTGGAGAAGAGAAGGCTTCAGGGAGAACTTAAGAGCCCCTTCCAGTCAGGAGAGCTGGAGAGGGACTTGGGACAAGGGATGGAGGGACAGGACAAGGAGGAATGGCTTCAAACTGACAGAGAGAAGGGTTAGGTGGGATATTGGGAAGGAATTCCTGGCTGGGAGGGTGGGGAGGCCCTGGCCCAGGTTCGGCAGAGAAGCTGTGGCTGCCCCTGGATCCCTGGAAGTGTCCAAGGCCAGGTTGGAGCAACCTGGGCTAGTGGAAGGTGTTCCTGCCCATGGCAGTGGGATGGAATGAGATGGTCTTTAAAATCCCTTCCAGACCAAACCATGATCCCACGATTCTAACACAGATCAGCCCAGGCTGCCTACGGAGAACCCGATTCCTTGGCATCAACAGATGTGAGGTCCAGCTGTGCACATGGAGCTCCCTCCAAAGGAGCAGAGCTGAGCTCCCAGCAGATAATGAGCTCAAGCACCAGCTGTAATGGTTTCTTTTCATTGACATGGAGCGTGGGCAGAGAGCACGTCACTGTGTTTGATCTCCTAATCAGCGCTGATTCATGTTTACACTGCAGATAACATTTCATCTGCTCTCAGAAGGTCATTTTCAAGTGATGCTGAACGCTTTCAGTGGTGCCTGATGCCTGCAATTTGAATATCCTCTCAAGCAAGCCAGACCTTCATTTTCCTCGTGGGCTTGAATTCATTCAGCTCTTAAAATCCACACAGTTTTCCCCTGCTGTAATATCAGACACCACACACGATGAATTATCTGTCACCCATCAAGCTAAAATTCTAGTGGAAGGTGCCCATGGCATGGAACTGGGTGGTCTTTAATGTCCTTTCCAACCCAAACCAGTCTGTGATTCTGTGGTTTTGAGGGAATGGCGTCACCTTTGGGGTAAATGAGGTTAGTGTTACCCCCTGTGGTCTTGCTTCCCTGACTATCTTGAAAGGAGACCTCCCAGGAAAAGCCACGGCCACCTGATGGTGGGTGAGACTCCTTTCCCTGGAAATTGCATCAGGGAGGGTTTAGATTGGATATTAGGAAGGAATTCTTCACTGAAAGGGCTGTCCAGCCCTGGCACAGCTGCCCAGGGCAGTGGTGGATCCCCATCCCTGGAGGGGTTTAAAATCCCTGTGGATGTGGCACTTGGGGACATGGGGCAGGGGTGGCCTTGACAGTGCTGGGAATGGTTGGACTGGATGATCTCAGAGGTCTTTTCCAACCTTAAAAACTCTGTGGTTGCATGATTCCATGAAAAGGCAGCATAAGGGATGTTCTATCCCCAAATCTCCTTCCAACAGGAACTTTGGACATGCTCCAGGCACGTACCTTGAGCAGGTGCAAGACCTGGCAAACCTCCTCAGGCTTTCATAACCAAAACCCTCCGAGCAGAACTTGGGATCAGAGCAAAACGCTGATGGCCAGGGAGCTAAGGTTGAGCTCCTGCCAAAATGACTAACAAACTGTGGATGTATGAATCCGAGGAGAAGCAGGAAAATCACATTGCTCCTGCAACTGGTACTTGTGCAACTTCTTTCTGGAATACTGTGTCTGGTTCTCATGGAAGTGCTCCAAAAAGGATGTTGACTAATTAGAAAAAGTTTAAGGAAGAGCCATATGAATCATTAAAGCTTCAGAAAACACATCTTTTAGCAAGAGACTCCAAGATTGAGATGTATTCAGCTACTTAGAAGATGAAGGGACAGGTTTATCTCAGCCTGTAGAAGGACAACGGAGAATTTGTAACGTGTTTTTCAGTCAGCAGACAAGTGTACAACAAGATTCCCTGGCTGGAAGTCGTGGATAAACCCACCCAGACTGAAAAATTATGAATTAAGCAACAGAGACACTGATAGAAATTTCTGATCAACTGTTCTAGTCGACACAAAGAGAACTCCAGCAAAGTCCTTTGCTCTGTTTCAGAGAGGTTTTATCACTTTAGAATAATGACCTTCCCTGATAATGTGCAAATTCGCAATCTTTAAGCTCCAAACACCAAATGGTCAAAATTAATGGCTTGGAAACAAACACACCTCAGCAATTTGTTCAACTAACTTGGTACAAGTGATTTCATTGGTCATTCCCTGTTTCCTTGGTTGGTTTTCCTCTGTTCACCCCCCAGGGCCGGGTCTTCCCAGAGCCAGACTAGAAGATGAAAAGGCAGCTCTGGGAAGGTACATCCACACCAAAGGGATGGTCCAGGCTCTTGGCTTCATGGACAAAGACTTGTTTTTACTGTGTTGACCCCAAGGAAACACCACTGTGATGGGAGAGGGGCCTTCACCCTCCTGGTGAAGCTGCACTTGAGTGAAGAAAACAGGAACAGACTCGACTAAAAACTGGAGGAGCCTCCCACAGGCATGAGACTGTTTTGGAGGAAGGCACAACAAGCCCTGGTGTTGGTAACCCCCCCGAGACCCCCCCCTGCAGTGACCAGACACGTACTGACCTCGGACATCTGCGGGAAGAGGCTGATGGCCAAGGGGAGGGCCAGGCCAAAGGCAGCGAGGCACACAAGGCTTTGGACTGGGAGAATCATCCGGGGACGGGACCTCAGCAGGGAAGTTCTGGAAAGGAAAGGCTCTGTTAGACCAGTTCACAGACCAGGTGAGTGCATGGCGTCATCAGAACAGACACTGGTGTCCACCCAGACCCACTGGTCTTGGTTCCTTCACAGAATCATGGAATGGTTTGGGTTGGAAGGACCTTAAATCCCATCCAGTGCCACCCCCTGCCATGGGCAGGGACACCTTCCACTAGAGCAGGTTGCTCCAAGCCCTGTCCAGCCTGTCCTTGAGCACTTCCAGGGATGGGCACCTCTTTCTTAGCAGGTCATGGACAAGTTCACCCTCACACTCTTCCCCCAGTTCAAACCACCACACACTTGGGGTGGGGGCCACCCACGGGTGTCACCTGCACCCAGGCTCTGGAGCTGATGGTGAGTGAGCAGAAGGAACCCAGGTCCTTGAGAGATATTGGGAACTTTGTCAGCCCTGCCAGCTGAAAAAGGCACACACGGCTTCGTTAATGGGGTAATAAAGCAGTAAACTCGACAAAAATACCTTAATTTGTTAAAAAATCAAACATCTGCAGCCTGGGTGATAAGGATGTTTTAACACTTGCTCTTCCCAGGGGATATTTATGAGTTCAAGATTTGTTAACAGCGAACACTTGAAGACACCTGCAAGGTCAGGTTCTCAAAATGACCGAGAAGTGACCCTTGTGATGCAATTAACACCCAAAAACTGGGACAACGTTTAGCAGGGAGAAGGTGGCATGTTCCATATATTTCAGGATACAGGACCTCAGGCAGTTTATGAATGCTAAGGGGAAAAACATAATTCTTGAGGGGTTTATTCTGGAGCTATTCACCAAAAGGACTCCTGTCATTCGACTTTTTTTCTACCAACCTGAAAAAAAAAAGGGAATATAAACTGAAAACTTGACAGTGAGTTTTGTTTGAATATTCAGCGTGTATGAGGAATGGAGAGAGTGGGGAGATTTGCTGATGGGTCATTTAGGACCTGAGGGAAAGGCATGGGGTTGGGTATCAGGAAAAGGTTCTTCCCCCAGAGGGTAGTTGGGCACTGGAACTCCTCAGGGGATTGGTTATGGCACCAAGGCTGCCAGAGCCCAAGGAGTGTTTGGACAATGCTCTGAGGGACAGGGTGGGGTTGTTGGGGGTGTCCTCTGCAAGGCTGGGAGTTGGATTTGATCCTTGAGGGTCCCTACCAACTCAGGATATCTCATGATCCTACAATCTCCTAGTTAATCCCTTCCCACTGGGGCACAGGAGCTCTCCTTTGGTCAAGGAAAGCACAACCAGATGACACCGAGCTCTGAACACCTCCGTGGTGACCACCGGGGTTTAACAAGCATTCCCAACCCAACGTGCACCACTCACAGGGTTTCCAGGCGTCCCTCCCCACCTCAGGGCACACACCTGATGGGGTTTTGCAGCCCCATCTCCCCGTGCAGCCGCAGCAGGATCAGAGGTTCCCCCCAACCCCCGTCTGCTCCGCGCTCGGCGCCGGCTCCAAACACGCACCTGACGGATTCCGAGGGAGCAGCTGATGTGTGGGAACTCGTTACCCTGCTCCACGTTGTCTGTGTGTCTGAACACTCAGACTCCTCGCCCTTTGCTAGCGCTGCTTGCTGAAAACTGTCTCCCATCTCGAGAAGGTTTGGGGGAAGCGGGGAGGGAAAACACGATCCAGAGCTTTAACTCCTCCGATATCTCAGCTCCTCACTAATAAGCCATCGAGACGGAGTTGATCCTATCAATTTGTGCTGCGAAAGCCAAGCTTCTGTTCTCCAATATTTTGCTTCTTTTTGTTGCACAGAGCACAATCTTAATCTAAAATTCTCTCACAGAAGCCCAGAAGGATTTTGGCCGAGCGAGGAAAGCGGGAAACCTTGTTCCACGCTAACAACCGCACCATTCAAGACCTGCCATCGATAAGCTGTGATTATCCCTGGGATGCAGAGGGGCAGCTCCTGGAACTGATTTATCCTCCTGCTCAAGCTGCTGTGATCCACGAGAGCCCTCGGTGAGACAATCAGAGGACCAGCATCCCTCGAGCCTCCCTGGAGCACAGTTTAGAACCAAGACATCGCCGCTTACACCACCTCTGACATCTTAATTTGGAAGCCGCACCCTCCGTAATTACTGCCCTGCTGGGCACCTCATAATCACCCAAGTGAAAACCCAACCAATTTAAAATGATCCCCGGTCCAGCCCCCCGGGTGTGACTTCCAGGGGTGCTTCCAGCTCAGGCCAGTTCAAATCACAAGGGCCGACCTCCTAATTAAGAAGAGTTATGGCTTGATGTAAAAAAGGAGAGCGGGCTAATTAACACATGTAGTGCAATGTCTTAATTGGGATTCAGATTCTAAAATTTGTGCGGTTCAGAATAAATGACTCATAATTAGTCAAGAGGTCCACTTTTCTTCTGTCCCCGGGATCTCTGCTCCCAACACAGATCTGGGAAGGATATGAAGTTAAATATTGCATTTTGGTGGCTGTCAACTGCAATCCAAACCCCTCTTTTCACCCATTAACCCCCCGCTGGATGGTTCCAAAGGGTTTAATTGCAGAGGATTAGCACAGATTAAAAATAAATAAAACTAATATCTGTTTGTGGAATGGGGGGTTTAGTTTACAGTGCTGTCCTGTGTGCTCTGCCAAAGGGCTGGATGAGGCAGGTGGAGATCTGGACCTTCACATCCCCCTGACAGCCCAACTTTGGCATCTTCTGAAGCCTAAAGAATCCCAGGGTGAGTAAGGTTGGAAGGGACCACTGGAGGTCATCTAGTCCCACCTCCCTGCTCGAGCAGATTTCCCTGGAGCACATTACTCAGGATTGTGTCCAGATGGCTTTTCAGTATTTCCAGAGATATTAAAACTTGAACTCCTGAACATCTCCAGAGATATTCAAAAAGCAGAAGCAGCAGCCTGATGTATTCACAAGAGCAAATATCCTCTTCCCCTACCAGTAATTCTGCAGAAGAACTGAAGCTGTTTTGGCACGAGAACAGTGGTTTTAGGGACTGTCACCACACACACAGGTCAGGACCAGCCAGGGTGTGGAGAACTAAACTTTGCTGCTCAGATTAGACAACGTGGGATTGAGAAGTTTGCACCAAGAGAAGGTCCAGGGTTGGAAAGCTGCAGGAAAACAACAGAATCATGGAATAGTTTGGGTTGGAAGGGACCTTAAAGACCGTCCAGTCCCATCTCCCTGCCATGGGCAGGGACACCTTCCACTAGTCAAGGTTGCTCCAAGCCCTGTCCAATCTGGCCTTGGACACTTCCAGGGATCCAGAGGGAGCCACAGCTTCTCTGCCCAACCTCTGCCATGGCCTCTTCCAGTATCCCATCTAACCCTGCCCTCTGCCAGTGGCAAGCCAATCCCTGTTGTCCTGTCCCTCCAGGCCCTTGTCCAAAGTCCCTCTCCAGCCTTCTTTAAGCCTCCTTTAATATGCATATCTTATTGTTCCCAACTAGAAGCCAAATTCTTGGCACCCATGGTTTGTCTCCCTCATAAACAAGTGATCCATGTTTCCACATGGACCTCTGGACAGCAAAGAACCGGCATTTTTGCCACAATTCCCTCCTCCTCTCTCTTTTTCCCTAAAGATCCATTTCTTCGCCCCCTTCAAACCACCCTAATGCCTCTTCTTTCTGCGATCTGCCTTCACAACAAATTTTACCTGGGAGACATTAAAAAGGCAGGAACACACCGGGAATCTACATGGATCCACCTAAAGCAGAGAGACCTCACGGATCCCATTGGAATATTCATGGGTGTCCGTAGGTACAGACACACACACACACACACACACTCACATGCTTGTACAGACAGTACATCTGCTCCGCTGAGACAGTGTGTTGTAGATCTTGTAAATACACCTTCATTCAACTTTCATCACATTGTTCATTAGTGGTTTAAATTTTGCATAATTTGGCAGCTGCCTCTGGCGTTTTTCAGGAGGTACTGTAATTTATTCCATATGGAAGTCAGTCGCTGTACTAAAAAGGAGTTATCGGGTTCAGTGAACCAGAGCTGTATTTGTCTAGGAGGAGGTGTCAGATGCTAAACTAAATATGACAGGAGTCAACCAAAGCCTCCCAGCTGACAGATTCTCTGGGGTTTGGGGAGGGTTTGGTATAAACAGGTTCAAAGCTAATGCAGACATCGCGAGACGCCGGGGACGCCGCGGGGTACGGGAAGAGCTGGAGGCTGGAGCTCGGGGTATCCCGAGGTATCCCAGATTCCTCAGAGCCCAGGGTTCAAAACGCCCCGTCTTTGATGTGCCAACAAAGTTTGGGGTGGTTGTCCTACCTCAAACTACCCCAGTTCTGCTGAGACCCTCCCAGAGCCCGTCAGGTCTCTGCACGGGGTGTTCCTGACCTTTCCTCACTCGTTTTGACAGCACCCAGGGAATGGCTGGAGCTGTGCCAGGGCAGGCTCAGGTTGGATCTCAGGCAAAGGTTCTTCCCCCAGAGGCTGGTTGGGCACTGCCCAGGCTCCCCAGGGCAGTGGGCACAGCCCCAAGGCTGCCAGAGCTGCAGGAGGGTTTGGCTGATCCTCTGGGGCACAGGGGGGGACTCTTGGGGCTGGGCCTGTGCAGGGCTGAGGGTTGGGCTGGGTGATCCCTGGGGGTCCCTTCCAGCTCAGCACATTCTCTGATTCTGTGATTTTGGGTCATTTGGGGAAATCTGAGCTCTCCCAGTGACCAGTAGCTCTGCTGTCCCACCCAGCCAGGCCACCACTGTCCTCACCACGGAGCATCCCCTGCTCTTGGCTCCAGCCCCTGTGCCACCTCCAGAGGACACAGCAGATGCAGAGCGAGTGAGGTTGGGGGATTTTTGAGCTTGATTGACATAATTAGAGGAGCAGTTTCAATGTTTACTCTGGAAACAGCCACAGCAGTTTAAGGTGTCACTGCTGGCAGCTGTTGAGTCACAACAAACTTCAGCGAGGGTTTAGCTGGACGGAGAGACTTTGGAGGAAAAGCACCTTTGGGAAACATCCTGCACATGCTGTCAAAAGGAGAATATCTCCAGGGAAAAGTCAAGAAAATGAAGGCCAAGAGGGCCTCCTGCCTCCTGCACGTTTCTGAAGTGAAAAACATGGTTTAAGCTGAAGAAAATGCCCTTCCAGCAACACAAAACTGTGGGCTGAGCACTGGTTGTCCCCCAAGAAAATCCATTTTTTGTGGTTAGGCTGACTTAGCTAAGCCAGAGCAGCTCTGGAATGTTGATCCAGCCTGAGAGCATCCTAATTTTCTGAGCCTTACAGGAAAACAACCCTGGCAGCTGCCGCCTGAGGATGCTCTGGTAGCTCTGCCACAAGATCAGGATGATCTGGAGATGAAGAAAAGAGTAGAAATGCTCCTCTTTTGTGGGCACAACTGTTCTGCTCCCTGTTTCTCTCTCAACTCCTGCCCATTGCCAACAATTCCAGTTTTGTCTCTCTTCCACCAACACTGCACAGACAGTTCCAGGGCCTTCTCTAGTCCAGCCTAACATACCCGAGCTCTTGGACCTTCTGCTGCTCTTCAGACCCTCCAAGAAGGTCTTCTTAACTGACCACTTAAAATAAACGTTTTGAATGCCGAAGGGAAAAAGAGGGAGGGAGTTTTACAGGAATCTGAGAACCCCTGCTGGGAGCACAAAGAAGGTTCCTGGAGGGGTGAGACTCCCCCCACCAGGTCACCCTGCGAGGCAGAGAAGAGGTTTTAGGATAAGGAGGTAAGAAGAGCTCATGTCCTTCAATCTCCACTCAAAGATCACTCAAAGTGGCCACAGCAGATGTTGATGACGGACTGAGCTTCTCCACCAGCCAAAAATTCGGGCTCTCCCACCTCAGAGCTCAGCCTACAGGGGCACCTGAGGCTGCAGTCCCACAGACCTGGAGTGTCTGTGCACAGACCAGGATGGGCTTTAAGTCTGGAAGGAGCGGGAAGCTGGACAAAGACTACTGGAAAAGTCTTGGATGACGACCAGGAGAAAACCGCTCCACTTCCCGAATTTCGTCGTGACAACCAGACAAAAGGATTCACGGGAAACAGGGATGAGAAGTCCGACTTCATGCAGCTGTCCCCACATCCCTGTGACACGGGGGCACTAATGAATTCCCACCGTCAGCCCCATCCCAAAGACGAGTCGCCTCCACCTCGCCGACGCCGCGGAGCCGCTGTTTTTCCCCATTAGAGTTGCCAACGGGGATATTATTTATAAAACTTCAATGAGAATACATCTGCACAAAATAACTGACACCGTGTTCCCTGCATGGCATATGCAGGCTCAAAATAAACATTGATTCTATATGTTAACTGCTTCCACAGAGCGTCCAAGCAGCAGGAAATGCATGAAACATGGGGGAAAGAATGGAGCGCTGCGGAGCTCGGCAGTGGGAGGTAACATTGAATTCCTTGGAGAGCAGAGAAGGCGGCCCTGGGAGTTAAAATACACAGCAGGCAAAGAGATGAGAGGAGCCAAGAGAGCTGAAAAAAATGGCACAAGAGACGAGAGAGGCAGCTGGGGGAGTTAAAACATGCAGATGGAGAGATGGCTGAGAGAGAGGAAAGACCTGGATCCAAGTGGAAAGACGGCGACCAGGAACTGGCCACTTAAAATAAACTTTTTGAATGCCGAGGGGAAAAGGAGGGAGGGAGTTTTCCAGGAATCTGAAAACCCCTGCTGGGAGCACAAAGAAGGTTCCTGGAGGGGTGAGACTCCCCCCAGCAGGTCACCCATGTCCAGCCAGGCTCCAAGGCTAGGCGGGAGAATCGCTCCCATCCTTCCCCACAATCCCAAATGCAAATGAACTTGGGAGGATCCAGATTGAGACTTCTGATTCCAGCTCTCCAGCCTCCAAATAATGAGCCATCACACTCTCTCCTTTATAGACACTGTAAGGATTCCTATAAACACATGGATAATGCAGGCCTGGATGCCATTCCCATGGAAAACGCCCTGGTCGAACTCAAATCCCACTCAATTCAAAAAGTTAAACTTTTCCCCAAATGCTCCAAGTCGTTTCTGTTCCCCAAATGAGGTTTTACCTCTGACTGTGTCCTTCAGTAACCACTTAAAAGATCTGTGAGGCAACACCTGCACTGTGAATCCCTCAGGGATGGACAGGGATGTTCTCCACGTCCCAAAGGTGCTGCCATGTCTTCCAGGGACACCATCACCTCCACCAGCGTGTCCAAACCACACCCCACTCCCTATCCCTGCTGTTTCTCACTCTCAGCCTTCCAGGAATCCAAAGATATTTGATGGAAAATCAAACAGGAGGCACGAAGCTCTGGGGAGAATTCAGGCAGGCAAAAGCAGTGCCCAGATATTTTTATATCCACCGAGTTGCATCGGGAAGGAAAATATTCTCTCCCAAACCCGAATTAAGTCTTTCTATTAGTTAAAATGAGGATTTTTTTGGAGGAGAACCTCCTGTGTGTCCACAGATAAAAACCAGTTTTGATAAGGCTTGCCCAGAGTGCGGGTGCATTTAGTAAAACTCTTGTACCAATACAGGAATTTAGGAAACCCCCGAGTACAAAAAAAATGTTATTATTAGTTTTATTTTGCTCCCAAGCACAAAGCAAATTTTCCTCTCGGTTTTTATTTTGTGCCAGGTGAAATTTTACTCTCAGTTTTACTTAACCTTGTGGATGCTTAGGAAGAGCCAGGATGGTCCCTCAGTGTTCCCTCTCAGAGACAATGATTTAACAACTCAGGGATCGGTTTTCTACAGTATTTTTGCCTATAAAGGGTTTTGTCTGTTGATAACCAGAATAGCAAAGATCCTCTGAAGCAATAAAATGATTTGTCCTTCATGTGCATCCTTTTTGGGTGGTTAGATGGGAACCTCAGTTCTTCTGACTTTGAGTAAGCCCTGAGTAAGGTACTCCAGAGGAACCTACTCCAGGGGAAGGAATGGCCACTCCTGAGCACCTTCCCAGCAGATCCTGCTGCTGGATCATGGCCTGGGGGACCCTGTAGGTGATAAAGGGCCTCGGGGCAGGAAAGAGATCTTGCCAAGGAGGAGAATGAATTAAAAATCCGATGTTTTGCACAAAATCAGGGAGGCTGGAATCTACTCCTCATCCCTGTGTGTCTCCAGAAAACACTTCCCAACTCTGGTTTGCGGAAAGTGTTACCAAGACTGTGCCCCGATGAAGGGAACCACCACAGTCCCTTTGAAAAAAGAGAGGAAAACAGCATATTTTGGGCAAAACGAGCCGAAAAACCTGAATTTACAGTTCCTAAAACAGGGTTTGTTGCCTTGTTTCTCCCCACCCGCAGGCCAGGGGAGAAATTAATACTGGTGAGAAGCTCAGGGTGCTGGAGGGGTACCAGCCTGTATCCATATTTTTAAATTTACATGTTACAAAATCAGCCTCCGAATTTACAGAAGGAGCCCCGACCCTTCTGCTACGGAGAGAAAACTGCCCGAGGGTGTTTCCACGAGGATAAACAAAGCTCACCGAAGGTCTGGGTCACTCCCTAATCGTACTAATTGTTATTTACTCTGTCACCCGAGCCACTAACAACAGATTTGTTTAAGGAGAGCCTCCAGTTTCGCTGCTGGGACAAAGGCAGCAAGTCCTTTAGCATCCCCATCTTTCAGTGGGATAATCGGTCTCCAGAGGCCGGGAAGGGGATCCCCACCCCCAGCCCACGGATCGTTCACACCTAATGAGCCGCTGATGGGTGTCCTCGGGAGCCACAAGAACCCAGCGGCTCCAAACAGGCTCACAGAATCCCTGGGAGGAAGGAAATGTGGAGGTGTTGGAAAGGACGGTGGGAGAAAGGCCGAGGGACAGGGAAATTTGGGTTTTTAGCTATTAAAACCTCTGCTGTGAGACAACTGAGCAACCCGGGATAGGAACTGGGTGGTCTTTAAGGTCCCTTCCAACCCAAACCACTCCATAGTTCTGTGATAACTGGGCGTGAAATAATAACCCTGCCCTCTCCTTCCCCCCGTCCAGGCACTGCTGCTCCACAGACACATCTGCCAGGAGAGATAACGGCTTAAATAGTGATGGAAAACAAATTTCTGCTGAATATATGAAGCATTTATTCTTCTTTGAGGAGCAGCTGAGGCCACTTGGGTTGTTCAGCTGGAGAAGAGGAGACTGAGGGGACATTCATTGGGGTCTGCAGCTTCTCCCGAGGGGCAGAGGAGGGGCAACCTCTGCTCTGTGTGAGCAGGGACAGCACCCAGGGAATGGCTGGAGCTGTGCCAGGGCAGGCTCAGGTTGGATCTCAGGCAAAGGTTCTTCCCCCAGAGGTGGTTGGGCACTGCCCAGGCTCCCCAGGGCAGTGGGCACAGCCCCAAGGCTGCCAGAGCTCCAGGAGGGTTTGGATGATCCTCTGAAGGACAGGGTATGATTTAAAACAATCACATCAATGTAACACTTTAACAGTTTTGACAGTGGTTCAAACTGATGGAATAATAAAATCTTAATAAGAAAAAAAAGTCTTTGGTGGACTTTGAAGAGAGACCTTGTCCCTTGTCACTCTCTACAACTCCCTGACAGGAGGGTGGAGGCGGGGGGGGGTCGGCTTCTGCACCCAGGGAACAAGGGACAGGAGGAGAGGCAAGGGCCTCAAGCTGTGCCAGGGGATGTTTAGGTCAGATACTGGGAAAATTCCTTTCTGGAAAGGGCTGTCCATCCCTGGCACAGCTGCCCAGGGCAGGGGTGGAGTCCCCATCCCTGGAGGGATTTAAAATCCCTGTGGATGTGGCACTTGGGGACAGGGGTCAGGGGTGGCCTTGGCAGTGCTGGGGGATGGTTGGAGGGGGCTTTTCCAACCCAAACAGTTCTGTGATTCTATAAAACACCAGTGAATGACACCCACTAAGGATCTTTTACCCCTTCCCCTTGCAAATCCCCCCTTCACCCCCAACACTTACTTTTCCAGTACGGACATGATAATTGGAGGTAGAACCAGTATAGGCATGGGCAGGACCACTCTGGTCAGGGCTGTTTCCAGCAGTGCCTGCGAAGGGAAAACAAACAAACAGATCCATGACACTTGAAACAAACCCCAGGATGTACCTGCTGGGCTCAGAAATGCCCTGGCTGGTCTTTCTTGCGTTGCTCCTGCGACTGAAAGCACCAACACACCCTTTCAGCTTTGCCAGCAGCTGTTTGTGCACATCCCATTTGCCCTCCACGCTCGGTCACAGACCCAGCAGAATAAAGACAGGCACCCAAGAGCTTCCCTGATTTCATTTCACGTGTTCAAACATCCCATCACGTTCCTACACCAACATGTTGGTGCTTCCTGGAGGAAGAAAGGCGGGCAGAACAGCTGCCTGGGAGATGTGGTGAGGTGAAATATCTCACTGTGGGCCGGGCAGCAGCTTCAAAAATTCCTCCCTCAACTGAGTTTTGATTTCAGTTCCACACTGGGGGAATGAGCACCTTAGTGCCTGCTCCAAGACTTGCTCCTGGTTTTTAATCACTGGTGGTTTATTGTGAAGTATTGTAACACATAGGGGGTTCTCCTCTCCCAGGAAAGCACCCAATCAGTTGTCCCTCCACTGGAAGGGACAAAGCAGCTTGAGATATATAAAGTACCCTGAGACCTAGAGAAGATCTTTCAGAGGAACAGATAATTGCCCTCCAGCCCTTTCCAGTGCCTAAAGAGGCTCCAAGAGAGCTGGAGAGGGACTGGGGACAAGGCATGGAGGGACAGGACACAGGGAATGGCTTCCCAGTGCCAGAGGGCAGGGATAGATGGGATACTGGGAAGGAATTGTTGGCTGTGAGGGTGGGGAGGCCCTGGTACAGGTTGCCCAGAGAAGCTGTGGATGCCCCTGGATCCCTGGAAGTGTCCAAGGCCAGGTTGGAGCAACCTGGGCTAGTGGAAGGTGTCCCTGCCCATGGTAGGGGGTGGGACTGAAGGTCCTTCAGGTCCCTTCCAACCCAAACCATTCCATAATTCCATGTCACAGGAACATCCACATGAGGTCCTTGGGACCCTTCACTCACAACAACCCCTCAGAGAGGTGCAAGGTGTTCCACAAAGGATCTGCCAAATCCCACACGACAAAACCCAGTACTAAGCTGTTCAGGAAGAAGCCTTAGGATTCCATGGCAGCTGAGCAGGAGTTCTCAGAACTCCCAAATTTCAAGTTTAAACCCCACCTACATTGCCCTTACAGCACCTTCCCTTTTAATATTTATTTCCCCTGTTGTCTGCCTTCCCCTCAACCATCAGGATGGAGAGGGGAACTCAGGTCCCGAAGCCAGTTGATATAAGTGAGGAAAACTGGCTCAAATAAGTATCCCTGAGCCCTTCAACAGATTGTTTTAATCTCCCTGTTAAACAACAATATGGAGAGATATTAGAGAGCTCCCATTTCTCGCCGAGGACTGCAAATCTGTACATTAATTGCTGTCTATGAAGTGCCTTAAGAGCCTTGGACAGAAGGAGGGAGAGAAATGCCAAGCATTATATTATTAACTCCTCTGCCTGGGCGTGTGCTTGGGTACATGCTTTACATTTCAGATTAAAGCCCACTTGGAAACAATCAGATGATGCTCAGGAGACAAAACTAGGCAGGAAAGGGAGGAAAAGGGAAAAAATTCCAGGCAGATGGCCGGGGGTAGGTCACAGGGAAAACAACCCAGGTGTTGGGAGGAGGGGTAAAAGCATCTGGCTGCCCTCCCAAAGCTCTGCTTGGCAACTTTTAGGGCAGTTTTGACATGGGAAGGGTTAAAAAGCTGCTCGGCTGGGATAGGGAGTCATCTTCATTTAGGAAAAGGTGTAAGTTATCTTTGCTTGGTATCCAACAGGACACAAAGTTCCCACAAAGAATTCCTGTGAAAGCACCAGGGTAGTAGAGGATTTTCCCATGTCAGTCTGTGCCCCCCCAAAGCACCAAGGTCAGTCCCCAAATTCGCCAGCGCGACACGAGCCCGTGTCCACCAGAACATTCCAAATGGTGGGCAAAGCTCATCTGTTTTCCAGCCACGGATCCCTACACCTGTGGGATTTGTGGAGCCTGAAATCCAGCAGAGTCCCAGCCCACCAGGAACAGCCCAGGTACGTACGTGTTTGGCAGCAATTCTGGAAGACCCGACGATGTTCCCGTTGTTGTCCAACACGTCAATTCCTTCTTCCAGCTCCGTGTGCCTCATCAGGACAACGTTGCAGATATTGGCACTGGCTGAGGATGGGAAAAGCAGGATGATTAGCCCTGGTCAACACCCAATGGCAGCTCCTTCAGCTTTCCTTCCTTTCCTTCCACCAATCTGCCCAGGAGTTTCTGCGAGTTGCTCTTGTCCCAAGACAAAATTGGGATTCTTCGGAGGAGAATAATAACCAAGATCATTTTCTTTACTTGCAAAACAATCAGAAATGTGTTGATCCAAGGAAATACCAGCATTTCCAGGTGTTGCTGTTCACACATCCTCCCACCCTCTCCCCGGTGATCCTTCACCAGATATTTCCTCCTACTAAGTCAAAACATGTCCTTGAACTGAGTGGCCAGTTGGGTTTGGCCAACCAGGAACTGCTGAGGGACAGCTGCCTCTTCTGATGGGACATCCCAGAGTGGGACTGTGCCCTTCCCAAACCAGCACTCTTCTTAAATAAAGGATTTTCATAGAACCATGGAATGGTTTGGGTTGGAAGGGATATTTCAGGGCCATCTAGTCCATCCCCCTTCCATGGGCAGGGACACCTTCCACTAGCCCAGGTTGCTCCAAGCCCTGTCCAACCTGGCCTTGGGCACTTCCAGGGATGAGGCAGCCACAGCTGCTCTGGGAAAATAAGGAAAAATAGTCAGGAGGACTAGTGGAAAATCTAGTGGAAGGTGTCCCTGCCCATGGCAGGGGGTTGGAACTAGATGGTCTTTAAGGTCCCTTCCAACCCAAACCATCCCATGATTCTGTGATTTCACACATTTTAGGGTGGAAATGGCTCCATGGGCTTATTTTCTGGAGTTACAGACCCGTTTCTTTGCTTTATGAATATTTTTCTGAGCGATGACGGCTCTTTATCCCCCCTGACATTCCCCAGCCTCAGCCCTGCACTCACAGCACAGCTGGAAGCAGGTCCAGGACCCTTTCTGACCACCCCCCTTGCCCACCCTGTGGCTTTTGCAGCCTCGAGATGACCCCAAATCCTGCTCCTGAAGTGATGTATTAAGAGTTGGGGTTGAGAAACACCCTTGCAGGTGCAGCCTCTCTCCGGGGCTCAACCGCTCCTTAAATTCTTCCCCGGAAAAGCTGCTAATTCCTCCAAAACTTTAGGCTTTGATAAACTGGCATTTTCCAGCACCTCCCCACCACCACATTTCGCCTCAAACTTTCCGACCAGAACTAATCCAAACCCACTGTTGCTGCAAGTACCACCGCTTTCCAAAAATGTGCTTCTGTGCTGCTTGATGGGTTAATATTCGCTAATTAATCTCAACTCATGTCATATAACAAATGTCTAATTTTTTGAGGGTGGTGGGTGGGTGAGCCCTATATGAACACAGCTCTCTGCAATCAAGGATGATTTGTGGTGACAAATGCTCCTTACACTCGAGAAGGAGAGGAACATACACACACGCACACTCTGTCTCTCCCTTCAATATTCCAACTACGGGACCGCTCTCCCCATCTATCAAAAGATCTGTGTTACCAACCCTTCAGCTCCTTAAAATCCCAGATAAAAAAGCAAACAGGCAGTTCATTTAAAGAAAGTTTAGCCCCCCCTCCCCCC